GATCTAATGTGATGTGTTGTAATGTGGCTTGATGTGATATGATCTGATATAAGTAAATTTGATGCATTTTGATGGGATAAATTGACATCTGTTTTTATAATATCTGAAATTATGTTTTATTATATGATGTAATATGCTGTGATGTAATGTGATACGAGCTATGATTTATCGCTTGTTATTATTGTGTTGTGTTAATTAATTTTGTTTTCTAGCAAAATGATTTGGATGAAATGTAGTTTAGGGTGGTATTGGAGTATGATGTGATGTAATCTGAACCGTTGTTCTGTCTTATAGTGTTGCATTTTAGGTGTTCTTGCTTCTCTTCCGTTGCCTTTTGTTATATCGTTTTGTATGGCTGTAAAGTGTGCCCTGGAGTAGCTAAGTATGCTGGGATGTGGTTTGTATGTTTCGCTGTGCTGTTTGAAATTGTGTCTGCCTGACTCGGGGTTGGTTCTCTTTTTGTCTGTCTTGTCTTGCTTGGTTGAAGGGGTTGAGCGTCGATTCTCTCGACAGGAGACGAATAAAGTTGCTTTCTCTGCCGACTTGTTGCCTCATTAATGGCTGGCCTTAGTTGCACTTGGCTCGTGCACAGAAAGTACGTACTCGATAACGACGCAGCACAATCTGCGGCCAGCTTCTCGAATCGGACGAGACGGGAGGCGGCCGACAGGCCCTAGCCACGAATTGTCTGCCCCTTTGCGGGACCACTTCTGCCTAGTCTTATCGTCTCGAATGATCTCACCTTTTCTGTCGGCGTTAGTGTCGGTTTCGGTTTCGGTTTCGATGTCAGTTTCGACCGACTCCAAACACCGCCTTTTTACAATCACTGTCTGTCAGTGACCGAAGAGACTGACCACGGCTGACCATGTTGGGACGTGGCCGGCGGTCTCGAGGCCTCGAACTCGCCACAATCCCGTCGGGAAGGAGAACGAGCAGGCAACTTCCCTTTCGGTGTCCGAGGCGAAGCGAGTCCTGCTGATGCTTCGACGCCAGCGCCAACCGCAGACTGCTCCTTCGATGACCTCGTCCAAAGGGTGCACATACATTTTACAGCCGCACCACAACTCGCCTCCTCCGGCACCCAGCGACCGGCGCCATTTTGATGCCATTACCACCCTCACAACCGACCATATACACAAATATACACACAAACACACACACACAAACACATGCAGGTAGGGGTCCACAAACCGAGGAACCCGCCTCCAAATGTCTCGACCATTCGCCTAGCCCCGGCCGAGCAACACCTTCCCATTGCCCATCTCCTCCAAAGACTATCTATCCACTCGCCAGACCAACCCATCTCTCCCACACCTCCTCCCAACGGACAGGTTGACCGGGTTGACCCCATTGCCCAACCGACAAGCCCTGCTGGTGCACTTTGCGAGGAAATCAGTCTCCATGACCGCAATCTCTTGTCAAGTCGACCGGAGGTCGTGTTTTGTACAAGTTGGAAGATGCCGGAGGGAGGAGACCGTTATTGGTGTGTGCCAGAGACGAAAAAGACAACCACGCTAGGATGACGTTTGGACGCAAAAACCAGTAAAGGGCGTATTTTTCGAGGTCCCAGCTCTTCAACTTGACCTCTCTCGGTCTCAGAAAGGTCTTCGAGAAAGGGTCGGCGAAGTGGAATTCATTCAACCAATTGCTCCCTCAATTCTGCGGCCTCGGCGTCTGAGATGGAGGATAATAAAGGCCTCCGATTGGCGAGCAATCACTCAGCCCCCGAGCTCTGACCTCGGAAGAGGAGGCCTACTTATGTCGAGTATAAGTAGTGCGATCGAGTGGAAAGGCAAATATTTGCCTGCTTATCAAATGTGTTCATGCTATTTCGTTTAAAGGGATCAAGGAGACTATGAGTTGATTTTTACCACAATCATGTGACTATGCCTTACGTTTCCATTGAATTTCACACTTTTTCCTTGTTTACTAAAAGATATTCTCCTCTAGACGGGAGCGGATTGCCATTTTATCGCCACGTCCAGCAGGACTCGAAACCGGTTTGTGGTATTGTAGCGTGCCATCTCGACACGTCCACTTGAGCCGAGGTTAGGATACCTTCTGGGAAGCGGAGCCACGTGTGCATTCAATGGAAAGACGAGGTCTAGTCACATGATTGTAGACAAACTGAACTCCAAGTCTTCTCGATCACCTCAAACGAAACTGGTTGAATGCATCTCATATGCATGCTCCAGTGGTGGTTTCGAAATAAGTGGTATAGCCGATTGCTATAGCAGATACAATTCTCTCCTAATCGGCGATCCCACCACACATTGTGATATGGGAAATTTCCTGTCCTTGCTTGAGCTTCACATCTGACCCATGTTCCTAAGGCACTCGTGGCAATCTGGCTTAGTGATTGACGCGTCGAGATTATAGGCCGCACCACCTAGCACAACGCAAGTTCGAGTCCCGCTGGAAGTGGAGATGAAACTGCAGACGACTCCTGCCTTGAGAAGAATACATTTTGGGAAACAGATAAAAAGTGTGGCATTCAATGGAAACATGAGGTCTAGTCACACGATTGTGGAAAAATTGAACTCTCAGTCCCCTTAATCGTCTTAAGCGAAATAGAGTGAATACATCCCTTACGCCGGGTTTACTTGTAGCCTCGAAAAGCCGCTTATAAACAAAAGATATGTATGCTTCATCGAAATTCCGTCTAGAAATTCCATTTGGAAAAAGCTTGACTTGTCTCGTAGCCCCTGCTTTCATGAGAGACAGCGATGACTAGCCGAACCCCGATGGGGGTTCAGATGGGTCGAGGAAGTGGGTCTGTAATTTGATTCCAGATCAAGCGATTGATTGAATCCGTTGCGAGTAAAAAGAAAGTAGGATTTACCAGAGTCGGACAAATGGGACTCTCAAGGAAACCAGACCTCTGGAAAATCATAGTCTTTCGATGGGATTTGCGATGTATCTCCCATGTCATTCGTTGGGTGTAAAGGACATCAGTGACCAGCGCCGTTTCGTATGTGAGGCTTGGCTCGTCATCAACTATCCTCCTCTACACACCCTTGTTGCCACGGCGATTGCAGGCTTCCGTGTAGTTGGGCCAAAAAGAACCCAGCTCATAGACTGGCTACGATGTTGCAAAAAAGAAAAAAATCGCAGAGTAAACTTGCAAACACATACATTTTCACACACAAACACACACACACACACACACCTTAATCAATGTTAAGGAAGAAAAAAAGTGGTGCACATTTACAATAAGTCCGACCTCGAGGAGGCTTTTGTCACCAACTCACCCTCC